CCCTCCTACATCAAGATCCCATGCAGCCTATTCTCAGCATGCATATTCACCGCCATTTTTCGGGCCAGCATCTTCATCACCACCTTACAAGATCTCCCAGTGTGGCCATGGTGTGATAGCACCCACCCGGCACTGCCTGCTCCAATAGGCGCACTCTCCTGTTAATCACAAGCAGCAGCGTAGGAAGGTTTACATGCACAGGATGCACGTCCATCGCAGAAATAGGTTCACAGATTTCAGAGAGCATATATCCTCCTGGAATTCTGCTCTGTATCTGTTCTCGATCCTTACCTGCACTCTATTTTGGAAGCTCTGAAGAGCCCGCACTCACAATCTTTTGCTAAGTACCTAAACACAAGCGGTTTTCAGGAGGCCAGTGATCCAGGCAAGCAGTGCGGTTGTCAAGACAGACTGACAGAATGCGAACATTTTCACACTGTAAATGCTGATGGCTAATCTCTTTTCGCTACTTACTGGATACTCGATATCAAACGCTCTGGGGAAAACCGACGGGGCTTGCACGCGCCCTCTTGCTAACGCACGCTCTGACTCCACTGCCAACAGCAATTCCTGACTACGTTCAACACGAATCATCAACACAAACCGGTACCATTTGGTCATAAGTCTCAATTTCATACCCTCAGACAAAACACCCACCAACACCATCTTCTTTTTTTGGGTGGTTTCCTTCTCCTTTGTTATTCCTTTAATTTTCCCTCGACTTTTTCTCGAATTTCATTTCGTTGCTTCTTCCTTCCTCCTTTTTTCTATTTTTTCCCCCCCACTTCAACTTCCTCCAAGCCTCTTTTTCCCGAAGGGGAATAGAACTCCGCCCCAAGCTTTGCCCAAGCATCAGTGCGACCTTTTTTCTTTTCCTTTGGATGGCCGCACCTGCCATTTTGGTCTTTTTTTTCTTCCCTCGACTTTTTCTCAACTTCCATTTCGTTGCTTTTTTCTTCCTCCTTTTTTCTCTCTCTTCCCCCCCCCCCCCTTAAACTCTTAACTTCCTCCAAGCCTCTTTTTGCCGAAGGGAAATAGAACTACGTCCCAAGCTTTGCCGAAGCGCCAGTGGGACCTTTTTTCTTTTCCTTTGGATGGCCCCACCTGCCATTTCGGTCCGGCGCCGCCCTGCCTCCCAAGAATGTGGTATACTACAGATTATATTTAGCCTTCCACCCTGAAAGGTAGTAGTTGGTGGTTTAGTGAGCCACGGCCTTGAGATACCATCACAGACCTCACCGGCCCCAGGTAATTCAGAACTTCTTCAACTAGTCTCATCTGGATTCGAGCTCACGTCTGTAATTCAGCAATTCAGGGGCTGTACCAAGTCAGCTAGCCCCTTTGGTGTGACTTTTTTTGTGCTTTTTTTCTGATTTTCTGTTTCTCCTTCTCTGTTTTCCTTTGTTTTCTTTTCTTTCTTTTTTCTTTTTTTTTTTTGGGGGGGGGGGGAGCAAAGAGGGGAGTAGCGGGAAAAGAGGGACCGGAGAAGGGGAATGAAAAAATGCTCATACAATCACAAAAGAAGAACAAGTACTCATTTCCATACTCAGGCCCGCCAGGGGAGCCGCAAAGGATTGGGATCGATCCATCCAAGTAATGTAAATGAATGTTTTCCCGATAAAGCTGGATGCACATCCACAGTGTCGATAACAGGGTGGGTACATCAGACATGATAATTTCAATGAGAACATACAGACGGAGGATTGTCAGGCACTGCTGCCAACAGTACCCCATCCCCCCAACAGCGATGTACACCGTCTCTTCCTCCTCCTTGAACACCCAGCCACCCGCGGTCCAGCAATGCTGTTCAGCAATTACATAACAACCTCCTGTCCAGCCAATCCATGTCGCTTTCCCGCTTCTCATGCAAGGCAACCAGAATTTCCCAATTCTCTTGCACGGCCACCAGCATTTCCTACACTCATTTAAACCAGTACTTCCCCCCTCCCACACTCGTTTGTAAGGCAATGATGTACCGACTTCGTTTTTTTGTTTTTTCCTTTGCATTTCCTTAACCTTTATTTTTCCTTTGGGCATTTCTCAACTTGAGCCAGATTTTGATTTTCCACCCTGCTTAATTAACTTCATTACTCGGTCAATGATGCCTCGCAGTTTGACTACTTTGGCTTTCATCCATATATATCAGCCTTCTGTCAGAGAATAGCAAGCGCTGTTCTTAACATCCGAACTCGCAAGTCCATATGCTAGCCCATCAGCGCCTCAGCACGTAAACACAAGCAACAAGTACTTGCACAAATCAGAAGCACAACACAAGCACATCTACCTCAGCACCCAAAGCAAAGGCAGCCCCTTTCCAGATGAAGTCTTGCCATGCCTATATCTGCAAAGATACTTTCAACGCCATAACCAAAAAAACAAGGTGGTACCTTGACGGATCCTTCAGCGACAGTGGCTGCCAGCACAATGGGCATTCCTTGCTCCTTTGTGCCCTGCACCGAAAATGACACGCAATAAAGCCAAGCACGTCAGTATTCACATAACCAGATTGCCAGTGCAACAAGCGACTAGCAACGCTGCAGTCACGCTTGGGCTACCAAATCCAAGAAAGACACTAACAAGTGATTATAAGCGACCAAACGTAGCCGATTTCCGATTCTCATGTCCTTTGAGACAAAATCCACAAAACAAAAAAACGATTACATAAAACAGGTTGCCTGCGTTTCGGAAACAATTAGGAGAAATTGAAAAGAACGAAAGGAACAGTTGCCTGCAAGAAAAAAAGTCACAAATGCATGACTGAGTAGAACGACCAAACCACATCTCTCATGGAGAGAACTCTAACCTTCCCTGCTGTGACCGACTAGGGTCAGCCATTCAGGTTAAGAAAAGGGTCATCGGAAAATCCACTATGGCAAAGTAGGTTCTCCCAAACTGGTCGTTTGTTGGAGTACTCATCATGACAGACACTCCTTCCACTGAAGTATCTGTCCTTTTTGCACAGCCACGACTCACAACTGACAGACAGTTGATACCCTTATTGAAGTATATTTATCATTCTATTTACAAAGCCATAAGCTAAACCCGCCCCTTTGTTTACCTCACTACAGGGCAGACTATCCAGCTTCAAACACCGCCCGCACAGCTGTAAGTTCAGCGAACCTCTTTGTCTGCCTCACTACAGAGACAAAATATCCGATGTCAACACCGGCCACCTCCCGCTTTCCACGAGTCCACAACCCTGTCTTTGTTCATCTGTACACGGGAATGAGAAGAGGCACTGGTCTGTTCGGCACACGGGCCAGTAGTGCTTTAAAGAGGGTTGGTGACCCCAAAAGATTATCCCTGTGTGCCTACTGGTCCAGCTGTAAGTCACCAACCTGTGTGCCCACTGGTCCAACTCTGCGCGGGCAAAGGAAAAGAACCCCAAAAGGGAAAAAAAAACAACGTCACAAACAGAAACGATATCTCTACTTTGCCTCAGTTGTTTCTCGCTGCTGTCGCACCGGAAAACAGCGCAGCAAAATGTGGAATTGAGTCAATTGACCCCATACTGACATGCTAAGATTCTACAATCAGGGCACACCGAAAGCGTGCTGAATTGCGATGTTTTTTCTGTACTGTAAATAAAACACTCAGGTACCCGATTCTCCTGAACTCTAATCACTGGCTTTGGGTGAAAGTAATTGCCGATCCTGGTCGCTTTTTTTAAACTCAAGCACTTGTTTATGCTCAAAAGCGAAGCAGTGAGGAAGCAAACAATTCACACTGACAGGGTGAACACTCAGTCACAGCCACAGCTCCAAAATGCCACCATCAATTATGCATCACTCACAGAGGATGTCAGAGCACCATTCCTCCATCGATTATGCATCACTCACGGTGGATGTTAGCCACAGCTGCAAAATGCCACCATCAATTATGCATCACTCACAGAGGATGTCAGAGCACCATTCCTCCATCGATTATGCATCACTCACGGTGGATGTCAGAGCACCATTCCTCCATCACAACTAGCATGCGCAACGTGCAGACTGTAAGCTAAGTTGAGTGCACAATTCAGCACAGACAATGGACTCTTGCCTATTCAGGTATTACCCATTCACTATCAAGCATGAAATGGGTGGCTGATCATTCCAAACAGACAACAGTCTCAGGTCAAATGCCTGAAAGCTGGCATTCACCCACAATCAACTCGCAGTGCTGCACCAAACAGGAGATGGAGCTCTGGGGTCAGCAACCAATCGATCAGGAAACAGATCTCTGGGGTCACCAACCAATCGATGGCGATGAAACGCTCCCGATCCTGACCAGCAACATGCCAGAGTCCTGGCACTGAATCCTCACAACTCATATCATCCCAACCCATGACTGCAAGATTCTTGGTCAGTCAAAAACGAAAATGTGCCTTGAGAGAACAGTCCATTCAGTGTACAACAAACATTCCCATCATTGGCAAACTTTTGTGGAGTTATTCAAATAGAATCCCCACTGCATCTCTCTCTCTCTCTCTCTCTCTCTCTCTCTCTCTCTCTCACACACACACACACACACACACACACACACACACACACACACAATTAGAAGACTCTGCAGGAAGAGTAGATGCAGCAAAAAACGATGCCATAAGAAATAAAAAACTCACCATTCCAGGATGCACTGTAGGTGATATTCATGATTGCAGTTCGTAATCTGCACACAAACACAATTTACAAGCAACCCCATAAATACATGAGTAAACTCGAGTATTAATAAAAGGAGACAATATTCCTAATCAACCGTGTGGGTTACAGTTCGTTTGGAAGATAACTACCGTATAGCTTATGAGCAGGTTGAAATGCCAGCGAAACAGACACAACATGGAGCCTAACTAACACGCACAGTTAATCGAAAGAAATGGTCACTTTAAACCACCACTCTATCCGACAGGAGGAAATTGTGCCTACCGGTAGGCCGAATTTGCAAAACGGCGTCCGGACTACCGGTAGGCGAGCAGACTACAGGGTTACCCTTTTCCTCAGTCCCTGTCCGCGGGCCCAGCAATTGTTCGTGTATGTTTTTGTTCTTGTTTTTGTTTGTTTTTTGGAATTTGAACGGGCTTTAAAAAAAGGAAAACAAAAAAAGCGAAAAGATTTTCGGATGGATCCCTGCCAGGGGCCGCGGTTGTTGCGGCGGCGTCGCAGATAGAAATCCAGTTCAGGCCGGATCCCGCTGGCAAGGACCATTGGGATGACTTTCTGAATCTGGACGTGTGCCACGCAGAGATGCAGAAAAGCAGATCAATCACTGTTTTCTGCACCTCGCCACTAAAACGTCCACATTCAGATAGTCAAGGCAATGGTCTCTCAGTGTATCAAGGCTCGCCCTTAGCTTTGTCTCTTCCACACCCCCCCCCAACCCCCCCGGCTCCTTCCTCTTCATTATCTTCTTCTACCCCATCGCCTACCTGTTGCAAAAGTCCGTCGCGGGCGGTTGTCATCATATTGTTGTTGTCAGCGATGGTCGCAACGACGGCAGATCCCGTGAACATGTTGCGTTGGTTTCTATCCTCTCTGTAGCGATTGCATCGCCATGACCTGTCGTCCATCACGTGACGACTGCGATGACAACCTCTCTCTCTCTCTCTCTCTCTCTCTCTCTCTCTCTCTCTCTCTCTCTCTCACACACACACACACACACACACGCTTGTAGTTCTCTCTATCTCTCGGACGCATGCAGCAGTCAGGTGTACGGGTGCGTGTTTCGTCAAGTCCATAAAACGAGGTTGCGCCACCGTTGGAAATCATCTTCTCCATCGAAGGCTGCAAACTTCACTTCTGATTTCCACCGGCGCCGCAACTGGTAAGTGACGCCGACCTCTCTTTCTCTCTCTCTGTCTCTGACGGCTTCTTCATGTCTCTCTCTCTCTCTCGGTCTCCAAGGGCTTCTCCATCTCTCTCTCTCTCTTGTCTCTCTCTCACACACACACACACAAAAATAAAATAAAATAACACGAATAAAGAAAAAATAAAAAAGTGGCAGTGTATTTTCCATGTTCTACCGTTAGATTCATTCGATTTGAAAGGGAGAGCGCCGAGGCCCGAAGCCAGTACGGAAAAAAAAAACGAAGATTGTTGTTTTCGCCCTAAGTCCTTTTTTCTTTTTCGGCCTCACCTTCTATGCATGTGGACGCGGAAACGTGCGGTGGGACTGCATAAAAAAAAACGAGGCCCATGAAAAAACGAAAACTGACAACTCGTTCACCAAAAAAATAAAAATAAAGAAAAAAGAAACAAGAAAAAAGTGGCGGCCGCCACTGTTCCCGCCTTCGAAAGCAGGCAACACTACCTGCGGCCCGAAGATGCGATGGGTTCCGACTTTCCCACGGAACTGGCCCTGCTGCTTCGCCCACCGGTAGCCGCCCTCCCTAAATATTCGCCCAGACTCACAGGAGGGGCTATTTCCTCCTGTCGGAGGGAGTGGTGTTAAAAGGATCAGATCCAATCTGCACCTTTGGCTACAAGCCAATGCTTCAAGAGCTACATAATCGAACTTCAGTACCTAAAGCACTGGCCTCACACCAAAGCTGTTCTCTGTGTGTGTGTGTGTGTGTGTGTGTGTGTGTGTGTGTGTGTGTGTGTGTGTGTGTGTGTGTTCTGTGTTGTGTATTCATTAAACCGTACAAAGGGTCTGTCACAGACTTTCACCAGGCTCGAGAGGCTAAACCCACCAGCCTGCCCAGGACGAATTTGACTTATGGACAAGGACTCCCCACCTTGCCCAAAGTTAGTGATAGCAAGGGTATCACTGAGTGATGGAGCATTACTGTTCGGAACAAAAAAAAAAAAAAAAGCAGATATCCTTGTAGGGTTTCAAAGGTTTTACGATTTTACCTATGATGGCCCAGGCACAGATAAAACTGGGTTAGATAGATGGACAGGCAGATGATCCCCACATATGCGAGTTTGAGATACTAGGTTTCGAGGAAGGACCATATTGTCACAAAGAACTGACCGGATGGCCAAAGATGGAAAGTGAGAGCAGAACAAAAAACAAAATGCTGTAACTGTCGACCGCTCCCCGACTCGTCAAGAAGCTGAAACCTGACCCATCTGGAGGCCGAAACCTGACCCATCTGGAGGCTGAAACCTGACTCATTACGACGAAGGGTGGCTCAGGCACAGACAAAACTGCGGTAGATAGATGCACATGGAAGGACCTGCCAAACACGGACTGAGACGCACAGCTGATTTCTGCATTTTGCTCATGGAATGTATGCCTTACCGAGTTTCCCTCTTGTTGCTGAGTTTTTCTAAGTCTATGTGTGTGCGTGCTTACTGGTCTGTGTGCCTGTCTGAGTGCTTGTCGGTTCAAGTTTGTGTGTGACCCGCAAGGGTACTTGCCCATGCAGCCCGAAGGGCTGGTACTTACCTGTGGCCATGACATTGAGGGTTGCAGCGGGGAAAACACTAAGTGGTAAGGAAAGAGGCCTGCGACGAGCAGCGGAAAAACACTCAAGTAGCAGGAAGGCTGGTACCACACAAAGTAGAGGTAGATGTGCCGGGTACTCTATGCCGAGCGGAAGAAGTCAAAGTTAGCATTTTTAGAGGCCCAGTAGTTGTAGGCTAGGTCTTGGCGGGTACCAGTCCAAGTAATCTGAGATCGGGCCTGTACGGGCAATACCAGAGTCTGCAATGATGTTTCCCTCCGAAAGGGAGGAGGTACCGGTTGCTTGCAGGCCGCACTGCCCTGGAAGTCACTGCCCAAGAGGCAAGCCGGCCGCTATATCTCCTGGAGGAGCAAAGAGCTCCTCATTCTACGGTGTGCAAGTTTGGCGACACTGCTTGGAGCGCTGGCTGGAGCAGTGCTGCTGAGGAGGAAGGAGCGCCCAGCTCCCCAACTCGGCTATGGTGGAGGAGCACGGACTGGCAGAGGAGGAAGACGAGGACAAGGAAGGGGGAGCGCCAGAGGTACTTACCTGGCTATGGTGGACGCCATCTTCATAACCTTGGTGGGCGCTGCATTTGGAAGGCCCCGGTTGGGGTAGAGCTACACCAATTAGCTTTGAGGCAGAGTCAGGCATGGCGTCCTGAGCTAGAGCATCCATAGCTGCTTCGAGTTGTCTTTTGCACATCAGGGCAAGGCCCCTAGTAGTCCGCCATAGCCTCGGCCTTCAGGAAGGGGAAGGAGAAGGGTGGCCATGGGTATGGTGGACCTCATGTTGCACCTGCAGTAGAAGACGGATTCGGACATTGATTTTGTTCTGCCATTCCATATTATTATTATTATTTGTTGTTTGAATAAGAGAGGAGGAGAAAAGGAGGAGGGCGAGAAGAAGGGAATTATCATTGGTCTCTGCTGGTGTTCTTCTTCTTCTTCTTGTTCTACTTGTTCTTCTTCTTTCCCTCTCTCTCCTCTCAAGTTCATTTATTTTTGCAATTGGACGGCATTGTGCTTTCTCATGAATGTGTACTTGGAATTTTGCCAGGATCATAACACACAGCCGATGATCCCCACATATGCGAGTTTGAGATGCTCGGAGGAGGAAGGACCATATTGTCACAAAGAACTGACCGGATGGCCAAAGGCAGAAAGTGAGAACAGAACAAAAAACAAAATGTTATCACTGTCGAACTCTCCCCGACTCATCAAGAAGCTGAAACCTGACGGCCCATCTGAAGGCTGAAACCTGACTCATCAAGAAGCTGAAGCCTGGGACATCACGAGGCTGACACCTCACAGTCAGAAACCTGAAACCCGACACATCAAGAGGCTGAAACCTGACACATCACAACACATCAGGAGGCTGAAACCTGGCACATCACGAGGCTGAAACCTGACACATCACGACACATAAGGAGGCTGAAACTTGACACATCATGACACATAAGGAGGGTGAAACCTGACACATCATGACACATAAGGAGGCTGAAACCTGACACATCATGACACATCAGGAGGGGGACATAGCTGAGCCCTGACACATTAGCTAAAGAAGCAACCACTCAAAGCGAGAAGTATTTCATTCTCCACCTCTGCCGTTTTTTCCTTCGGGCCGTTGCTTTACAAGATCCGTGAGTGGAGCGTTGGCAGCGGGCTTGTTTTTTTCCAGCTCCTGAGACGACATACGCAGATATGTGGGAAAAGCGCATAAACAGCCCACAACGGTCATGGATATGCAAAAACTACTCGTCACAGGAACGCACGCAGATGCACAGACGCCCAAGTCCATGATTCGCACCTGGACGTGTAGATACCCAAGTGCATGATTCACACCTGGACATGCAGATGCCCAAGTGCATGATTCGCAGCTGGACGTGCATATGCCCAAGTGCATGATTTGCACCTCGACATGCATGCAGATGCGCACACGCCCAAGTGCATGACTTGCACCTCGTGCAAATGCCCAAGTCCATGATTCGCACCTGGACGTGTAGATACCCAAGTGCATGATTCGCACCTGGACATGCAGATGCCCAAGTGCATGATTCGCAGCTGGACGTGCATATGCCCAAGCACATGATTTGCACCTGGACGCACATGCAGATGTGCACACGCCCAAGTGCATGATTTGCACCTGCACGTGCAGATGCCCAAGTGCATGATTCGCACCTGGACGTGCAGATGCTAAGTCCGCGGTGGGCTTATTTTGTTCTTGAGGCGGGCGATAGACACACACAAGATTTCCTGACGAGTCACCAAAAGACCGATGC